GCTCTTAAGATTATTAGAGAGAGAAAACAGGAAATCGATAGAACTTCATTGGAAGATGAATTGTCTTCAGATATGTTGACATTGTTGTTAACTTTAAATACTTCTCGTGATCTTAATCGAGAAAGTGACGCTAGACCAATGATTGAAGATGACGTTCGCGCTATCATCTACGAAATATTTGGTGGTGGCAGTGATACTGTAAGCTGAATTCAGTATTTCTGATATTTGGAACGTCGGTCTGAGTTTAATCATATGATTAATTATTATGTTTAGACATCCAATTCATTTTGTTATGTGATTTATTATATTTCACACTATAATGAAGTCAGAAAAGCTATGCTTAAAGAATTAGAAACAGTACTTGGCAACGATCAAATTACTTATGAAAACCTTCAAAAGTTACATTACTGTGATGCAATTATTAAAGAAGGTAATATTTTATTGTCATGAGGTCATCTAGCTTTCATGAGACTTTAAAATAATACTCTGGTTTTATCATTAGTATTTCGAATTATGCCAACAGTGTCAGTTATATTCCGAGTAAATGCGAAGCCTGATGAAATTGATGGACATCATTTTGAAAGTTCTACGACATTTATGATCAATGTGCCTGGTATTCATATGCATAGTGCACATTGGGACAATCCTCGAAATTTCGATCCTCAAAGATTTATGGGTAAAAATACTGAAGGAAATACTTTTCTTCCGTTCGGTGGTGGCACAAGGATATGTCCGGTATTTGAGACTCATATTTAGGTATTATGTATCTTTTTATTTGGCTTTATTAACCTTCTGAATTAATAGGGAAAGCAATTAGCAATGCTGCAAATGAAAGCTTTGATCACTTTATTATACAGAAAGTACGATGTCGAATTGGCTGACATGAACGCTCCCATTAAGTATTGTTCTACAACCGTTAACCATTGTTCAGAACTTATTATTAAAATTAGATTAAGATCTGAAGGTTAGAAAATAACCAGAAGGGTAGCTATGCAATATGTGATCCTGTGCAGAACCAGTACGATCACATATGACGAACAAATTCAAATTATTATGTTTGATTAGTTATTTACGAAGATCATATAGTACAGTACCTTGAATAAATATATACTTTGAATAAATTAACCCCAATAAAATGAAATTAAGAAATGTAAAAGTATAGTAAACGCTGTGAATTCGATCAGTCAGTTTTTTAGGTTGTCTAACAAGAAAATTTTCACATTAAAACATATCTGAAGACAATTCATCTTCCAATGAAGTTCTATCGATTTCCTGTTTTCTCTCTCTAATAATCTTAAGAGC